TTAGTGCTGCTTGCAATGGGAATTCCTGTGAGGAAGGCATGGGTGTATTAAGGCTTTGTTACACATTCAGTTTGAAGCTAGATAGAAACCAGCTATAGGAGTTGTTGCTCATTTTCAAGCACTAACTTTATAGATGGCAGACTCTTTTTATAACTGGATAGTCATTTTTTCATGTGATAATTACTTCGCATGTGTGGCCGATCTAAATTTATTGTGCAATTAACTGGTTAATTGCATAATGTACATAACATGTAGCAGGGGCCTTAGAAAGCAAAAGGAGATGAATTTGCTTCTTAATTGGAGGCCAAGGCAAGATCCAAGTTGGTTCTGTAGTCCCCTAAACTAGACCTAAGTAGAATTCAGGCACTTAAGTTCCAAAGAGTGATGAAGCTTAACCATGAACCACAAACCACAAAACTCAGTAGGCATTTCTATTTTGGGTTGCAAAGTTCCCTAAGCTTACAAAGACTTGGGCACATCTACTTCAGGAAAACAGCACTGAATTTAGCTCAAAAATTGTGGTGGTGCCCTGCTTTTCCACAACAGCATAATGATTAGAGCCATGGTCCTCCTCCTTTCAGCCGCACAGGCTGAGTGGTGTGGGGCCAGTGCATAGGCTGAATCCTGGTGGGCAGGGTTAGTCCACAGGCCTCATGCAGCATGGATCCCACACATCACATCCAGCTCTATATACCAGATCTGGCTCTGGAAGTTGTGGCAATTAATGCTGCCACCTCTCCCCTGCTGCCAAATTTTCAGACCCAGGGGGAGCCCTGTGGGACCAGAGGCTGAGCACTGCTGGATCAAGAAAGTGGGAGACCTGGATTACAAATCCTCAGATGAGGGGATTCAAATCTACATAACCAGTTTTTTTAACTGCCCCAAGTAACAGGCTATAGAATCTGGGGCATCAATTTGGATCACTTAAGTTTTCAGCACCTAAATTTTAGGCATTCTGATACTTAAGGGTAGTCGCCTACTTGTCTAAAACAGATGGTCTCCAAACAGCTAGGTGATAATGGTTTTTGGTTACTATCAGCATAGGCAACATTTAAACCATGAACAAATGTGTGTCTCAATAAAACCATTCCTGGCTACGATTTTTAATATTATAGATTAATAAAACAAAACAAGGCAAAACCTGGCTTGAGGTTAGATGTCATAACTCAACTTGTACCTGAAAAGCTATCTGTAGTGAATGCATAATTCCCTGGTAGGAATGAGGGAAATGTACTTTTGCAGCTCCTCCTCCAGCCCCCTCCAGCTCTGTCAGAACCTGAAAGACTCATTTTACCACTAGTCTTTTTACTCAGCTGCATGGCCTAAATCAGAGTTGTGCAAGCTCTGGCCTGCATGCCAGGTATGGCCCACAATGCCATGTTATCCAGCCCACGAGACTCCCCATGGGTCTGGGAATTCAGCAGTGAGGGCATGGTGGCACTATTTCCTGGTTACCAAGTCTCTGAACCCATGGGGAACCACGAGGCCTGTGCTCTCAATCTAATGCCCAATCCCAACATGCAGGGCAGGGCATGTATGGTGCCGGTCTGCAGGGCCCAATCCTGGTTTGAGGGACTGGAGAGAAGGCGACATGGGCCCCCAGGCCCAGTCCCAGCATGTGGGAAGCAGGAGCACGCGGAGCCAGCCCCTGGGATCCAATCCCAGTGCACAGGCAGAGGGGGCAATACTATACCCCAAGGCTCCATCTTGCCCACAGATAGGTCCTGTGCCACTCACTGGCCTGCATGGCCAAAAGCTTGAGCACCACTGGTCTAGGTCAGCTATAAGTTCACATTCTTCCAGGTCATGAAAAGCAGGACTCCATTTGGAAAATACCATTGCTACTATTTTAACACACAAGAGGGCTTGCTGTTGAACTCACTCTCAACAAACACTGTCTGGGCCAAATGAGGAACTTCTTGCCTACAGATGCAAAGGAAGTCATAGAGCATTAGGAGGAAAAAAGTTTATGTAGATCTCTTGTCTGTAGCAGCCCAAGCATCCTTACTCAGAGTTCTTGTGGGCACAGCTTTTCATTAATTAAATACTGTGCATGTCCTAGTGATTAAAAATCATTGCCCTCTAGCCATTTGGAGATGATCTGATATCACTTCACAAGAAGCTATATAAGCACATTAGATAGGATGGATTAGACAGGAATGATCCCGTCTTGAGCAGGGGGTGGACCTGAGGACCTCCTGAGGTTCTTTCTGGCCTTATTTTCCTAAGATTCAGTAAAACAATGCACAATATGTTTGTTTTCATTTGTGCTCTTTTATTCAGGTGTTTTTCTTGTATTAGATCACAGACAGAAAGATACACTCTGCTATCATTTACGTCAGTTCTGTATACTGATGTAGGTTAAATGAGGATCAAGAATAGACAGATGTTGAGCTACCTCAGGGTGGGTCACACAAAGTAGGAAGTTACATATGGCATCTCATACCATGGCAGAAGAACAGGCAGTATTTAACAAATGACTACCTAGGATGAACATATATAGACAGAACCTAAACCAGTACAACTTTCATTGTTTTACCCCTGCTTCTTCACCAGATCATAGGAAGTTACTTTAGGATGTGGTTTAGGATTTTTTATCATTTGTCTGCTGCTTTTTTGACACCATTATAGTGGGGTAATTCTGTCATCTGTTCAGGCCCTCAGATGGACAGTTACTTCAACAGGGTTTGGTTTTTTTCCCTTTTATTTTTTAAATATGCGTGAACAATTCGCTGCAGAACAACCCACTGAAACAAAGCATTTGAGTCTGTATTTACCTTGTGGCTTTGGATTAGAAGCTGAACATGGGGACTTTTTAACTGGCACGCTTCCATTTATTCCCTGAGCCGCTTCACTGCATGCATTCTGCTTGACTAGTCTGTTTGTGTTGCTTGCTGGACAAGGCTTAGCAGTTATAAGGATCTTTGGACAGACGCTGCTGCCTGTAAAATAAAATAAAACAAAGCATAAATGATAGCCAGTTACAGGGATTATTAAACGTATACACTTATTATTAAACGTATAATATGTTTTATTTCACTGCCACACAGAATTTTTGTTTTTCAGAAGGCAGTCCTGAGTTTCACAGTAAAGTGTCTTGTCCTAGAAATGTATTCTTCTTTAGTCAAATAGTAATAAGGTGGCTTTATTTAAAAAATAAAAAAAGATGCTATGTTGTCACATTAAGAGATCACCAAAATGCTTCTGAATCAACTAGCATTAGCTACTTTGGATGTGCAAATGAATAGAACAACTTTTGCTTAGTCATTACCAGGGCTGTCCCTAGGGTATGGCAAATCAGGACAACTGCCCCAGGCTCCAGGCTTTGGGGGGCCCTGCAGAGCCAGGTGGAGCGGCTGTGGCCCCTCCCATGGGGACCATCTGGTGTTGGCGGCTCTGCCCCACACCACAAAAGCACCACGGAGACCCCCAACCCTACCCAGATACAGGGAAGATCCAGCCCATGCTCTCCCTTTGCAGGGGTCCCATGGGCCCCATGCAGTGTTAAAGGGGACACGCACAGGTCGATTTGCCCCAGGCCCTGCACACCCCTAGAGTCAGCCCTGGTCACTACAATTACTTTTGTCAAACTAGCATACTGGCTTGCCTAGATCTACATATAGGCATCCCTGTCAGATAACCCAAGCTAATAGAAAAATGAAAAGGCAAGTACAAAGTCTTAATAATGACATTTTCTCATTTAACAATTTATTTCATTCTCCAGTCTATTATAAGCATCTGAAAAAAGCCTGCTATTATAAATTCTTCCAACAGGATGTGATTTTTGCCAATTAGAGAGACCAGTATGTTATTTTCCTTGCATAAAGAGAGCTTGATGCAAAACCAACCAAAAAAAAAAAACCCCACATACAGAGCATCATTATATCAAAAAATATATTGATGATTATAACATGCTAGCAGGAAATTAAAAAGTCTTAATGTATTTTTGTGACTAGCTCCAGAAGCATAATCCTCCACAACTTTTTGAGATCTGTTAATATTTAGTTTTAATTAAATACTTCACACCCCATTTATCACTGCCTCATTTTCCCTTTTCAAAATTAAAATTAGCATTGTATCACAAAAAATGGCTCTACAATCACCACAAAGATTTCTGGCATTTCATACCGATGTTGGCAATGCAATGTATAGAAATCCCAACTAGAAGAGATTAAATGCTATATACAACATCTGATGTAGTGCCTGAAATGCAGTATCATTCACTCTTCCTTCTCATTCAATTGATATTTGACCCTCAGTGAACATCCTACAACCAACTCCTCCTGCAACCCTACCAATTTAACAAGAACCTCTTAATAAAAGAAGCAAATCACAGCTGGAGCTAAATTTTCAAAGGAGTCTTTCATGAGGTCAGTGGGAGATTTCATAGACATTAAGGCTGGAAGGGACCTTGGAAG